GCTGACACTCTTTTCCTTTTACTTTGAAAGGCTTTTAAATGCAAGAAGGAAAATCACTTTAATGTACATCACTTCTGTGGTCCAAGTTCAATGTAGTTCAGGTGGGGAGCTGCGTCAACATGCGTAGGCTGCAAAGGAACAAGTAATAGGTTTATTAAAGCTCCATGGCTGAAACATTGTGTTTTCTTTCTTCTCTTTTCAGCATGGAATTAAACTATTACTTGTTCCACGTTTAATGTAGTTTACGGATTATTTCTCCTTTTAAGTACCTAATAGTTAATAATACAGGCTATTTCATGAATTATTTTTTCAACCTTGACTTACACATACCATTGAAAAATAAGTTTGCATAATCCAGCACCTTTTAAAACCTTTCAGGCATTTTGCTTTAAAGAAACAAGTGTAAGTTTAACACTGTGGGTTTGTTTCATAACCACTATTTCACATAATTTTAGATAATTCACTATTGACATTTATATTAAGTAACCTCAGGCCACCATATAGAAAATATGACCTGAGGACATCCTTATCCTTAAAGTCAACTGCCCTTGGAGAAAAACCTGGAAAGTAAATTAAATATATAAACAAACCGAATGAGCCAAATCTCCAGGGAGCTTAGTTTTGGATTTTAGCTGACATAAAAGCAAACTCACATCTTACTCCCACCCCTTAAATCAGTCTTTCAATGTACATCTAAAAGACAAAAAAAAAATGTTATTGTAGGTTCCAACAAGGCATCTGATAAAGGAACAGTAAAAAGGAGACTAATGCTATCTGAATGCCACTGCCTTCTTTATTTTGGGAGACAGAGGGTGTGTGTCTAAGCCTACATGAATAAGTACTCCTAGCAAACAGCTCCAGTAAATTCACAGCATCCATCATCTGAAAGAAATGAGATCTTGAAATTAAGTGTTTTTGTGACCACTACTTGGTCTATCTGCAATTTTCTTTTCATATTATTTTTTTTTTGTAAGTCCAACATATCCTGGTTTTTAATCATTGCAATAACAGTAAGAGTCACAGTAAGAACAATTTATACTGTGTATAGCAATTGAATGTACACTGAAAACTGCTTTACATGTGTCAATATTTACCGATCAGAGTTAGTATTAAACTACCCACTATTTACACAGATGGGATGGTTTATACAGGTTGTAAGATGAAAGGTTTTATGCAAATACATTTACTATATGGCCTACAAATAATATAGCAAAGGTGCAAATTCCCTTTCCTTTTTATGAATGACACCAAAATGACAAATTCTGGAAACCTGTAGGAAAATTACAAAATGTAAATGTACATTTTGTATAGTCTGTCAGCCTATATTTTGTCAGCATTATCCCAACCCAAAGCTGTTGAACTTTATGCCTAAGTAAAATTCTAATTACACCTTCTACAGAAAGAGCAGAATGGTAGAGGACTCTTGTAAAGCCATTACTCTTATACCGACACAAAAGTTGACAATAGCTGGAATGAAAATGCATCCTGACTGTTTTGTTATAGGTATGTGTAATAACAGATAACCGATATAACATCCTCTGAATACAGCAGTTTCAATTCCACAATTATGGCTATATGTAACAGAAGACAGATTTCAAAGAGGTCTAAGCAGGAGAAGTCAAACTAAAATTCACATAACTTAATTTGTAGACTAATCAATTAGGTCTGAAGTCCAAGGAATGATTTTACTACTGTAAAACAAAATGTGAAGACAGGAATTATCAACTTATTATGAAAATTAAGCAAGCCCATCATGATCCTTCCTGCCTATTGAATAGTTTTACTGCCTTGTTAGCCACAGTGGCTTTCCCCTGTGCAGGAGTTAGAAATTAAAATGGCTGTAGTAATCCATCAATAAATACGTAAGAGCTCCTGTCATGACAATGTGGACTGTAACATAAAAAGACAAGTACAAAAGAGTTTAGAAGATCTTAAAGCATCAATTAACATTTTAAACGAGTTTGTCTTTGAATGAAGTTGCTAAGTCTCAATGACATCTTAATGCCTTCTAACAATATACCTAGAACAGCCTGGATCAGGGATTTTTTCTTGTCTCATGTATGTACAGTCTGAGCCTTGATATTCCTTGAAAAAACTAATGCATTTTTATGGGTGCACTATACTTGCACTGCTTCCCGGCATTTTGCAAGTGGATTCAGCACTTTATAAGGGAAAATGTCCGTCTTAATTGGATACACTACCACTACCATGATGTGGATAAACAAGTTCTGAAATTATTGGGCAACTGCCATCAACTATGAGGGAAAATGCACACAAGAATTTTTAATTACCTTCAATAGTAAGCATTAACATGTCCATTACCATCACAGAAAAAACTTGAGGCACTACCTCACAATAAAAACAATCTCATTATTGTCATAATGGAAAACTAATGATTACTGAAAAATGGTATTTCATCATGACAACAGTTCAGGCCAGCACCATGCTGAATTAAAACAAGAGCCCATACTTCAGTTTAATAAACCTTTTTTTCTGGTTAAAAGTCAAGAATGCAACAACATGTCAGTTTCCGTGTTTAGTACGATTCCAAAGCTTTAAAAGCTATTGTTTCAAGACACCCAGGACTGTACTTTCCTACTTTGTTTTTGTTTATGCAAAAAAAAAAGATGACTGCCAAAGATGACATTTGGCGCAATTCAATCTCATTAAAATGAAAGCCTTTGCACTTTCCACCTAAACGATTAATCATTTACTTGCAATAAAACTATATTCAGTTTCAGAGTTCAGTCCAAACACAGGTGGTCTAAAAACATTCCACGTTCACGTTACCAGCGTCGACACCAATCTAATCCTGCTGCTTTACCCGAACCCCAATCAACGGCAACACCCAGAAGTACTGTAACTGTCAGGTATACTGAATTTGTAAGCGTGTCCCCGAAGAACGAAATGTATTACCTGCAGCTAATTGAGCCGTGCAGTCAATGCAATTAAATACCATGCTGTTTAATAATCACAAGGCGTTCTTCTTTAAGACTTCGCACTTCAATAAAGTGTGGACACTTCGACCAACCTGTACACTTACTTATTTAATGACATGTGTTTACAAGTGGGAAACTGCGGGCGAGAATTGATATCGATCCATGTGCCGCAAAACAAGACTAAATCGCGAAGGCTCGGTTGCTTTACACTTCTGAACAAAATGTATCCTCACCTGTGCAGTATCGCTTTCACCACCTCCAATAGGCGTGGAGGCCATGTTGCTGAAGCTTTATCCAGACCGGACAAATTTGAAATCTCGTTTTTTTAAGGGGGTGGTGGCGGTGCAGCAATATTGCTTCCTGCACAGCAAAACCCATAAACCTTTAAAAAGTTGTTTTAACTCGTTGATGAGACGGAGCTTTCGACTGTTCCAAAGCCCCGCACGACCCCCCCTGCGGCGCGCTGTCTCGGAGTCCCACACAGGAAAGTTTTGCTCGCTGCGCAGCTGAGTCACACAGGTAAAGTCCACTTGCTGTGCAACTTGACTAAGGCGGTCTGATCAGAGCCTATTGAGATGGCGACAGTGGCAGTGCCATTAAGGCTACAAACCGCCCGCTGTACTAACTTCACCGCAGACTCGGTTAGGGTGCGGCACCAAGGTTACTGCACTCATAGGCTGAAGACCTCGCCGACTGTTGCTCTTTAGATAATAGAAAACACAGCGATAATACTACTGCAGCGTTCAGAAGCATAAAATGACACCATGATTGTATTGAATGATTTTTTTTTCTGATACTAAGTGTTATTGTATTAAGTGTTTAATGAATAAGTATACATTTATAAAAGCCATGCGGAAATAATTGTATTTAACATTTGATACAATATGCCCTTCCCAATACCACTGTCACAATCTTGCATATAAATGCCCGCACTTTCAACACCTCAATTAAAAACAATGTCAGATTGCATTGTTTTCAACTATTAGCACACTTAACGTCTATATACACCAACTAAGCATGATTTTAGTCTGCAGGTAATTTTAATTAATACAATTTAAATATACCTCTGTCTGTAACCTGACACTTTGGCCAGAAGAGGGTGTCAATATGGTTTTGAATCTGAAAACTACTGTTTACATGAAATAACCGGTAGGGCCCGAGTTGCCTTTTGATAAATCACGGTTCTGTTCCCAGAACAGGGCTGCATTGTGAGATTAAATGGTTATACGAAGAAGGAATGGGCTTCAACGCAACTTGCTGAGCTTTACTTTGAAAAGTCGTTACGGGTTAATTTGCACAAAAAAAAAGAAACCAAGTTAAAAACCGAAATAAATTTATATTTCTAATGTAATCACCTTTTACTTAGAGCCAACAAGGTGAAATGATCAGATTCCGGTTCAAATTGAAAAACAAATGTTCCGTCTCCAATTTCCATCGCTAACAGAGGAATTTCGTTGCCAAGAATGCAATGAACCCTGCACAAGAGAGAAATGCAAATACTATTAATAATTTAGAGGAAAAAGTACAGTTTGTCAACACATTCACAAGAAGGTTGTGTGCAAAATGTCATTAACTGTGGTTTTCTGTCCTTTAAAGTGTTGTCGCGGCTCTATAACATTTATTCAAACATTATTGATAGCATTTCCATGTTAATTTAAGTAAGCCCTTTAATGATACTAAAAGTTATACTGTATATGAAGCCTAAGAAAATATCCGTCTAAACATACTCGTATCCTTTTTTAATCATTTCCCCAACCACTACATGCAAATAAAAAAGCAATAAAAAATGATTATAGTGTATAGTGAAATGTATCATTAAAAAAATACATGGAGAAGTGAAGGTTTACCTGGAAAGTACCGTGCACAAAAAAACATCTACCACCCGCAAACGATATAAGAAACCAAAAATCCTGGAAACACTGTGTGGTTTCCAACCGGGCCCGCCCGCTGCTTTTTTTTTGCTCATCCTCTTCCGCCGCGCTTTAAAGTCGTTCTCCCGCCCCTAAGACATCCGCCTCCCGATTGGCTCTTTTGAAAGTAATCGAGCTGCCCGATTGCTTGGATTTGAAAGGCAGCGGCGCGGCTAGTTTGAAAGCCCAAAGCTGCTGTTTTCCCCCGGACTGCTGAGTCCAGTGAGAGCGGCGCAGGAGTTACAGCCTTGGGAGTGAGTGCGTTCTTTACCAACTTTTATTGTACTGTTTATTTGTTTTTCTCTTTATATAATCTTAATGCAGAAGTGTGTGAGGAAGGGGAATTTAAGAAATGGGTTAGCATTAAAAAAACGACCCGATACGATTTCGGGTGATCCCGAAGTGTGAACAATTTAAAATAGTGTGAAACAGTTTTTATATATGCATGCATCTTTGGAGAGCATGGAAGGGCACCGGATTATATTTCTTGAGAGGAGCGGTTCTGTAACTGACTAGCCGAAGCGCCGATGGTAGGACTAGGCCCAGGCTGTATTTGGTAATAATGTACAGTACACGGGTAACCGGCTCGTTAAAAATGTCATGAGCAGTGTCTGGGTCTGCTTTTTACAGGCCATAATCGATACGTGACAAAGGCAAACTAGACAGAATTGAGAATCATTTGCTATTAATTCTGTCTAGATAAAAACAAAGATGCAGGACCGTGCTAACAGGCGTTGCACACGGTAATTATTAACGGTAATTATTTTTTGTATATAAGATAACGAGCTGTCACCTAGTGTTCGACAAAGTTTCGCATCGTAGGTTTGGCTTGTTGAATAGTCTTATTAAAGGAATTATTATCGCCTCTTATCGGCAGCGAAAAGGCAGGAACGTGGTTCGTCTCGTTGTGGAAGGGAACATGGTCATGCACACGGACAGGCTAGGTCTGCATGACGCTTCAAGACACGTTTACATTTAAAAATAGTACCTTTACTCTTGTCATGCTATTATTTGCTTGAAATACAGACGTTTCCAACTTCCAATCTCAAAAATGACATTTAGCCAAGTAGTGTAAGTTGTCAGGGCACGACCGGTAAGCCCTTTTTCATATAATCACTGCTGGAGAGCGCCACCTACACAAGCAAACACTTCGGTTTAGCGGCTGTGAAATAGTTTCCAGTGTGACGAATCACAGACGTCAGAGTCTTTGTATTTACAGTCTGGCGTTTTTGTCATCAAAATCCTTTGTATAAGAGGTTTTCAACGCCATTGTTTTGAGATAATACGGTTACCAAATCGCCTAGTGTTATTTTCGGTAACAGTAGCAGCTGGTGAAACCAGTTTCGGTAAAATGTCCTATGTTTTGGAAAGTACAGTGAAACTGCGTTTATCAAACGATAGAAAGCGACACTTCTTCACACAGCATAGCAATGTTATAGAACAGACAAACCGGTGAGCGACTTATGTCCAGAGTAAAACGGTGTTCTGTGTATATTTTCTTTCAGGCAAAATGGATGATTATGTGAAGATTGAGAAAATTGGAGAGGGTAAGTGTATGCAGACATTCTGTCCCTGGAAAAACAGGTGCACGCTCAACCAAAACTGTGCTTTTGGTTTGCAAACTGTTGGAAAAACAGTTTTGTTTTGTATAATGCTATGGTTTTAATGGTCTTGTTCACCATGCTTCTTTCTTCAAGAGGGATGTTTGGGCCTGAAGGCTCACTGGCACTTTCCAAGACACTGAAGTTGTGTGTTTTGTTCATTTGTGCAGGTACCTATGGGGTGGTTTACAAGGGTCGGCACAAGACCACTGGGCAGGTGGTGGCCATGAAAAAGATCAGACTGGAGAGTGAGGAAGAGGGAGTTCCCAGCACAGCTGTCAGGGAGATCTCCCTGCTCAAAGAGCTCCAGCATCCCAACGTGGTTTGGTAAGTTAACGCATGCAGTTGTAAAACAGTTCAAACCAGGTGGTATGGTTCTCTGTACTCTGTTCAAAGTACTCTGCTCAGATTACTGTGGTAAAACATCCAATATTCCAAATTTTAGGCCTCCTGGATAAAAGCTTTAGCTAAGCTATAATCTGGCTGAGACGTCAGTTTGCATTTGGACCCGTTTATAGAGCTGGGCATTTTACTGAAGCAATTGGGTGAAATAACTTGCTTAAGTCTCCAACCACAGCGTCTCATTTTGGATTTGACTCCAAAGCCTACCAGTTAAGACTCCAGTACCCTGAGCAACTGCTGCACACTGTTTAATTAACATTAACACAAGACATTGGAATAGAACACCCTTATTGTACGCATGTACTGTAAGTGGAGTTCTTCAAATTGATTGTGCCCCACATACACACCCTCCTGCTTTGTTTTTTCAGTTGTTACTTAATCAGACCCTTAAGTGTCAGTGATAAGTATCGGAATGTGTACAACCAGGATTCTTGTTTTTCTAATCCTTTCTGTCCATCCTGTATAGTGTTATGCAATATGTTATTAAATCGGTAGTAATGAAATATTGAGAGCTTTTCTGTCGTACTCCGAGAGGATTCACTAGATTTTCGTTTCCCCAGCCTTCTGGATGTCCTCATGCAAGAGTCAAGGCTTTACCTCATCTTTGAGTTTCTTTCAATGGACTTAAAGAAATACCTGGACTCTATACCTTCTGGTCAGTACATGGACGCGATGCTGGTTAAGGTATGGCACAATTCATGGCAGCTTGGAAGGGTAGTCTTAATTAAAAAAAACTAGGCAGTAATAGTGTAATCACAGCTATTTGTGATTTCTTGTGCTTGATTTCAATGTTAGAGGAAGGCACTACTTTGTATGGATCCTTGTTTTTCTAATTGTATGCAGTATTTTTTCATTTGTTCTTTAAAGTTTACATTTTCCAATGTTTTTATAAGTTATTGTTCTTTTGTTTCCACCAGAGCTACCTGTATCAGATTTTGCAAGGAATACTCTTTTGCCACTGTAGAAGAGTCCTTCACAGAGACCTGAAACCTCAGAACTTGTTAATAGACAATAAAGGAGTAATAAAGCTGGCTGATTTTGGGCTTGCCAGAGCCTTTGGGATTCCGGTGCGAGTTTACACTCATGAGGTAAGGGAGAGTGAAGGTTTAACCTTCCTTTCTCTCTGTACCAAAGTCTTATTACAGTAAGTTATGTACGTCATGGAGGTGCTTGCAAGACTGCATTTATTTGATTTGATTCACGGAAACCAGCCTTATCACAGGGAAATTCGCTTTAACTGAACAGTCAAAGGTTATGTAAGGGCAGTGTGAGATAAAACTTAAAAAAAGACTTTTAAGGTCAGAATATATTCCCTTGCAACTTTTTATAGCCTACAAATATGAAATGGGTACACATCTTGAAGACTGGTGGCAAGATGTTTCCAGATTTATTCTAACTGGAAATTGCTTTTCCTTGTCAGGTCGTGACACTGTGGTACAGAGCACCTGAAGTGTTGCTTGGAGCTTCCCGGTACTCTACCCCAGTAGATATGTGGAGTATTGGGACGATATTTGCTGAGCTGGCCACAAAAAAACCTCTGTTCCATGGAGACTCTGAAATTGATCAACTCTTCAGAATCTTCAGGTATTGTTAACTAATAACACCATCTGCTAAGTAAGGGTAGAAGCTCAAGAAAAGTGGCATGAATGCATTTGGCAAGTAATAATGAGTAGCTTACCTGGATATTTTGTAGGACTCTTGGGACTCCCAATAACGATGTGTGGCCAGATGTGGAGTCGTTGCCAGATTACAAGAACACATTCCCAAAGTGGAAAGCGGGCAGTCTTTCTGCAATGGTGAAAAATCTAGACGAAAATGGCCTTAATTTGTTATCGGTAAGGTTTTGACTTGACTTTTGTAACTTTTTTTAAATTTAAGATAAGCCATGTGCTGGTTGCTTATGTGATAGGCAATATTATTTCATTTTTAGTTTTTATTGAATACTAGTTTAAATCTAAAATGCCATATCACCCTGCTCAGATGATGCTTAATCCTTTTCTTCTTTTCCCAAAAGAAAATGCTGATTTACGATCCCCCAAAGAGGATTTCGGCAAGGCAGGCACTTGCCCATCCTTACTTTGATGACCTTGACAAATCCAGCCTTCCAGCCAACACCATCAAGTACTGAGAGACCCCCCTTACAAAGACTGTCCTCAATGTTATTGTCAACAAATTATTGTGGATTTCTGTCATTGTCTATATAAGTGTTTTGTTTGCGCCAATTTTCCACTAATTTGTGTTGTGGAGTTTTCCTTTGTCTTGAATTTTATAACTTTTTTTTTTCTGTAAATGTTTTGTATAGATCAAATTTAATCTCTATACATGTCCATATACTGCTTTTTCAGCAGTGATTATATATAGTTTCAATAATAAAGTGCACTTTTGCAAATCTGGTTGTTCTTGTTAGCTAGGGTTTCTATGTTTTTTTAAAACGCACCTGAACCAAAAAGTGTTTATGATCTCTGCTTCTGCTGCATTAGGTTTAAAATGGTATCTGAAGCTGTTGGCTTCCTTCCTTTATCAAACAGAAGTCACTACAGTTGCATGGCAGGTGACACTGTTACTTCTAAGCTGTTTTAGGTTTGATTCCAGACGGGGCTGCCTTCAATGTGAAGTTTGGATGCTCTCTCTATTTGTTTGAGTTTTTGCGAGGTGCTCCAGGTATCTTCCAGGTTTCTAAAGGTGTG